CTCCATTTGTTTTTTTTTGTTTTTTTTTCCTTTTTTTTGCAGAATTTGAAAATACCAGCTGCCCTTTACACGGTGTAACTTTCATGATGAACAGATCAACACAAATGGTCCAAAATTACTTGGAAGAATCTGATTTACATTAACTTTAATTATAAGTTAAGAATGTTTTTCCTGTTAAGTCACTTTTTTGGAGATACAGGGTTTTGTTCTGACAGCTATGATGTACTACTCCTCAAAAGTTTGGAATCACTGTTTTTTTAATAATATAAAACAATTTGGCTGCAGATAAACATTTGAATACTCTAATGTACAACTTCGCATGTTCATACAATCAGTAGGAAGCTGTGAATAAAGGTATAGAAATGACAGTTGTGTCCTGAATGATGAACAGAGCTGCAGAAGATTCTAAAGTGACTGAGAAAGTTCAACATCACAAATTATGTTATAAAATTTACAGCCAGAATTCATCATATTTCAAAGGTGGTGATCAAAGCCAAAGGAAGATTATTTGACAAAAAGGAATGTAAAAGGATACAGTTATAGTATATTATTAATCATTTTCTTTACTTCTTTTTCAAATCATTCCTGTTGAATACTGGGTAAAATACTTAAGATTCCTTTTGGTACTTTCTTACATTTAAATCCACATTTTATAAGTTATTAAAAGTTATTATTGTAATTTTTATTATTGTACTAGAAAACAGTAATACGGTAAGTGATTCCAAACTTTTGATTGCTAGTGTATATGGTTAGGCACGTAGGAGGTGACCAACACTCATAACAGCTGCTCTTGAAATAGATTTCTAACACGTTTAATTCTAGTTTTCTACTGTTGGGACAAGAATGATCACATTCACAAAGTAAAAACCATAAACACCCAGTTTGTGACTCCAGTACAAAAGTCAGAGACCAGCACAAAAGTCTAAACAACTAAACATAATCTAAACTTTTTCAGTATTTATTGTGTCGACTCTTCACCTCCACACGCCTCCAAAGTTCAGTCTTAGAAGCTGGTTGATCATTTTCTGAAGTAATCAAACACATTCAGTGATGTTGAGGTCTGGACTCTGGGGTGGTCAGTCCATTGTTCTGAGAACACCAGCAGCCTAACTGTCGCTTTGAATAGAAATTTTAAAAAATGAATGATTGTCTCTGACTATATGTGGCCTTTTCTACTCTTCTAAACCTTAAAAGGTCAAACCTGGGACTATCAGTCATGCCTCATTAGATACTCTACAAAATAAGCAAAAGAACAGATTCATACAAAATACAAAAAAAAAAAAACACAGTTAAGTTACAGTCACCCCATGGCAGTACCTTTCACTGACAATATGGCCAGTCAATGTTGAGCATCAATGCTTATACTGATATAAATTCTCCCTCCGGGGCAAATTCATAAACAGCCATTTGTGACCGAACAAACTTTGAGTGCAACATAATGCAGTTTCAGCTTGAGAGTCGCCATTCAGAAAGATCGGATCAGCGTGTTAGGAGCCTCATCCTCAGAGTTAGCTTAAGGCACTGATGCTACGTCCATGCCAACTACATTAAAGGCAATACCAGAGACGCTAAATGGGACTGTTAGCTGTTAGCGCTGATTTTAAGAGAGAAAGACAATGGCTGGAGCACACAAACCTATGAATGGGACAACAGATAAAAAATGACCACTTCTTTAACTCTCATTGATCTGCGGGTTAATGTAAACAACACTGCTCGCTAAAGGCCACCGCGCATGTGGATGCGTCACACTGCATCGCGCAGCATCCAAAATTCAGAACCATTGTTTGTAATGAAGAATTTACCATTACTGCTTTATTAAAGCAGCCACGGGAAGCTGGAGTAGATAAAGTAGTGCTAAAGTTACCTCAGCTAACGTTACTAGCCTTTTTTTCACCTCACATCTTTCAGTTTGGAAACAGCAAGTTTGGGGAGAGGTAGTTTTATTTCATTAAATCCATTAGTAGGGTGTAACCTGAGGTTGATGTTGGCTATTAGCTATGTTTTGTACTGTATCTGCTTCGTAATTCAACACAATGCGTCTGATATATGGTGGCATTAAGCCAGTATGGTTGATGCTTTACATTACCACCAGTAAACTTGATAGTCTTGATAGATCTTCTCAATACAGCACTTCATTCAAGTAGAGCTGCACAATATGGACAAAATACTAGAACTGCGATTATTGCTACACATTGCGATTGCAATATTTTGACAGTGTAACTGACAACCATGCAATTTGACCAGGATTGTTCAAACTTCTGCATATGACTGTATATTAAAAACACTTAGGTTAATCCTTAATGTGCCACGGTTAATGCTTTTCCTGCGTGATTTGACAAAAATAATGTATTTTTTGGATTGCATGACCCTGACTGGTCAGTATTCTCACAGTGGAAAAAAAAATATTCTCACATGGAAAAAATAATAATCTCAATATCTCAAAACATTTTCATGATGTGTGATATGCATTATAATTTTTCTGAGGTTTGATAGTCGGAACAGAAAACAGAGCCTCAGTAGAGCTACATTTAAAAAAAGCTATTAAAACTATGAGCACAATGATTTTTATTCTTCCTTTTATCCAATTACACAGGACTAAAAATGCGCTCTTTGTAGTTGGTCATTGTTCTTTAAGTACTGTCGATATCCATGATATACTCAGAAAAGCATACTGTGCTGTATTTTATCATAATAAAGATTAAAACGTCATGTTGCTTACCTCTAATTTGAATACTGTATCCTCCTGTGACATCAGTGTTAACAGTAATGATTACTAAATGATATATTCTACATTATTTTTTATATTTTCAAATCATCAATCCATTACTGAGCCACAGGCTGTATCTATCCAACCACGTTATCAGAGAACCGTTTTCACCGTCTCACTCCAGAGACCCATCCACTGTGCCTCCAACGAGTTCACTGACACAATCGCTAATTAATTTGCTGCTTTAAAGTGCAGGCCGGCACTAGACTCGCCATTCAAAACAAGAGAAAATTAACCACGCTAATTAGCTTAACTGTCCTAATTTCCATAATACGTGCAAGAGTGGGATTACGTTTTGGTGGTTGAGTACGGTTGTGTCAGGAGTGGAGCCGGGTGGAGTTTACGTGGCTTGTGCTCCAGCCGTTGCTCCGGGGCTTCTCGCCGCAATAACAATGCAGGAGGTCACAAATGGATTTGGTGTTCAAAATGTGTCAAGATGAGCAGTCGCTGTTTGGTTGAGTGCGTCATTACGGCCATCATAAATACCCACGGTGTGCATATCGCTGCTGCGGAGGGGGAACCCGTTTGACTGTAAACTCTGCTGATATGCTGAAAGGCACTCACAATCTGAGGTATATGGAATATCATCATCATCATCATCTTAACAATGCACACAGTCATCACGCCGAGTAAACAAGTATTACAAATATCAAAGCTACATCTTTACAATACAGAATAACAAAAGGATAATATGACACTGTAAATCTGCACTTCAGTACAGTAAGTTTCCCACAGAGCAAAACCTCATTACATTAGTGTTAATTTAGTCATTACAGGAATAGTCGCCCAAACACAGTCGAGCCATGACGCCACGTTTAGTGTCTGAAGTTTGCTTCTTTAATTTTGCACTGAAGCTACAAAACAAATGCAGGTTACAAGGCTCCATCCACAAAAATAGAAAAAAAAATATAGACAAAATTCAGACGGCTTTAAGTTCTGTTTTTAACCACACTCTTAAGAAAGATGGTTTTTCGAAGATTCTTTAATAAGGAAAATGGTTCTATATGGAACCATGAACATTCAAAGAACCTTTTGCACGATTAAAGTGTTCTTTGCATTGTGAAAGGGTTCTTCAGATTGTTCCTGGTCAAGTTACATGTTTTGTGTATTTTCTAAATGAAAGTAAGTTCACACATTTTAATGCACAGTTAGTGTTTATTTGTTTAATTGTGAAAAAGTTATATTTATATATTTTTTTATATACAGTTAAAAATTATGATTCTTCAAGGGTTCTTTAGTAGAAAAATGGTTCTATCTAGAACCATGAATATTCAGAGAACTCTTTCTATGATTAAATGGTTCTGTGCATCATGAAAAGGTTCTTCAGATCATTTTAGTGCACAATTTCTATTTGTTTGCTGAGATCAGCATTTTGGGGAACAATATACACACTTAAAAATGAGGGTGCTTCAGGGATTCCTTAGTAAGAAAAATTGTTCTATATAGAACCATGAACACTCAAAGAACTCTTTGCATGATTAAAGGCTTCTCTGCATCATGAAAGAGTTTCTCAAACTGGTGGAGAATGTGCTGCAGGTGGTTCTATATGGAACCTTTTTGAAAATGGTTCTATATGTAGCACCCAAAAAGGTTCTTCTGCTGTTACAAGCTTGACAACGTAACAATAGAAGAACTCTTTTGGGGGTTATATAGAACCATTTTCAAAAAGGTTCCATATAGAACCACCTGCAGCACATTCATGCACATTTTCCATCATTCTGAACAACCCTTTTATGATGTAAAGAATCCTTTAGTCATGCAAAGGGTTCTTTGAGTGTTCATGGTTCTATAATCTTACTAAAGAACCCTTGAAGAACCATCTTTTTTAAGAGTGTTTGTTCATTGTTACTGCTAATAGTGCATCATACAGTGTCAGAAACCACATAAAGTCTATTATAGGTTATTTTCAGCTGATGCAGGTTTTGGGGATTTGGAGCCCTCTCTGGTGGAAATGTGCAATTGCACACAACGTGTTGAACTATTTGTAGTGTGGGTTGTGATGAATCTGATTTTTTGAAAGAGAATTCAGAGAGAACTCAGTCTAAACTTGGTGAAGAGGAGCGTCTCTGAGGATGTGAGTGAATTATCTACTACTGTCATCAGATCTTCATCAGTATGATGTTGATTCTGCATTTGAGGCCTGAACATTGAGCTGGACCTTCTTTCTGAGACTGTGTTTGTGATGTTAATATGATGTTAAAATTTACATTTACATTTACATTTACATTTACATCATTTAGCAGACGCTCTTATCCAGAGCGACTTACAAAAAGTGCTTTGTCTATCCAGAGAAAGAATCTTCGCTAGCTACCGATAGGTTAGAGAGAAAGTCAGTCCTAAGCTCAGATACTGGTGACGTGGTCTGAATAACTTCCGGCCTGCAGGCTCCCCTGACTCTCCTGACTACATTTTAAATTTTTACAAAAAACAAAACCTTACATAGTGCTGCTTTACCTCACTCCAAGTGTGTGATGACTTAAGCGCTCAGTATACTTCTTGCAAAATGAAAAGGGCTGCATGAAGCCGAAAGCGCCTTCACAAGCTTACAAAGATTTTGCAGCTCTTTTTGTCCATCGTGGATGCTCCTCTAACGCAGGTGACAATTTCTAAGTTCCATGACTGCTGGAAAATGATTCCATCTCAGATCTAACTATGTCAAAGTCCAGATTGCGGCCACTATTTAAGGTGGAATGGGAAAATTAGAAGAAGAAGCTGGCGAATAGGAAACCAACTTCAATCTTGTCCTCCAGTGAACCTGAATGTAAGATAACCTGTATGTTTTGGTGCTCAGTGCTAGTCAGTACTATTGAATAACAGACCGAACATCTTAAGTTCCTCAAAGTCGTCCATCTTTGTTTAATGGTACTCCTCTTTTTTACCGACCAATCAGAGGCTTTGTCACGTAGCATCTTCGTCTGCGGAGTTTGCCCAGCTGCCATGTGTGCGACTTGGGTGAACGAAGCCTCCGCATGGCGTCTGCGGTTGTTCGTTTTCTCCGCAATTATGTCACATTGTTCGCTGAAGCCAGGCGAACATCAATTCTGAAAGACGTATGCTGAGGCCTTTAGATGTGCAGTTAGCACAATGCTAATTGGTGTACATAAATGTCCATTACTTGTTAGCTAGATTAGCCTCATGACTCCAATGCAAAATTAAAGAAGCAAACTTCAGATATCAAACATGGCTGATCAACTACAACTGTGGTAAGAGAACTGAGTAAGCCAGATTTTTGTCAGACTCTTCCTTTAACACTCTTCCTTTTCACTGTTTCGAGTGGATAGAATTGGCTAGTATTTCGCTGAGAGCCTGTTTTTCAAAGTGTCAAATGATTCATAACACCGCTGGCCTTGTAGGTAACATGCTGTCTAAAAAAAATGGGGCAATGTCAACTGCATTAAAATTGCAATGCAGTTGACGATGGTCTGTGGAGTTCCTACCTCCCTGTCTCTCCCTCTGTATCTAGATGCTAAGGGTGATGGTATGGATAGTGTTGGCCGGTATCTTGGCGTCTTTGTCCTCTCCGCTGATGCGAAATACCACGTGTGTGTTTGAGGGAATGGTAGCCGTCCCGGTCAGTGGTTTTCCCAGCCAGCCTTGCGCTCCACGCTTATACATCCTCACAGTCACCTACACAGCAAAACACAACACACCACACATTCAGGGACAAATGTGATTAAAGTTTTAAATTCGGTTTCACACCATTTTCTCTTCACTCCAAAAGCAGAAAAATGCAAAAGTGCAGACAGAATTCAGACTTTAATACAGCTGCTTCAGTTTGTAGCGGGGTCATTCTACAGAAACGTCCACTTTTCTATCTGTCCATAGGAGTCACTGGTGTTACTGATCCTCATTGGTGTTCCACATAATAAAGGAACACCAGAGACATTTTTAATGAACAATGCATTTTACAGAATAACTGCTACAGAGCATCAAACCACATGTTGTCAATCATGGAATATCCACTAAAATATGGAATTTAATCCATTTGTATTCTGTTTTTTCAGTTACCTCAGAATAAAGTCGGTCACACCAGTGACTTCAGCTAAAAGCTTCATATGAAATCATGAGCTAAATGATAAAATCTCTGATAACTGAAAGACTCAGTGGACTCACCATGAGCTTTTCTTCATAGATCCTCAGAAAACAGGTAAAAGGAAGTCGAGTGATGTCATCAGTGTGACTTTTATTTCAAAATAAGAGATTTTTTGTTACGTGGTAACACCAGTGACACGACTCCTGGGGGACTTTCATAATATATTTTATAATATTTATTTGGCATTTGTTTACTTTGTCATTTAATTTATATATTCCATAGTCATGTATAGATTATTGTAGTTAAAATTGCAGAAAAACATGTTTTTTACCTCAAAATATGGCCTCAGCCTTCACACATGACTGTGAGGACGAGCTCTTCTGTGGTGTTTGGAATTCTAGATAATTGATTTAAAAACCAATATTGCTAAATTGAGGCTCAAGAAGGTGTAACTGTTAAAACAACGTATTGTTTTATTTTAAAATATAAAGAATTAAGAATCACCCAGATATGCAGTGAACATCTGTCCATGTTTATAGATACAGTGAGTCATACAGTGTTAGGAACCACACAATCAAGTCTATTATAGATACTGAACACCTCCACACAAGTCTTGGCTGATCGACTACATTTGACGTATGTGGGGGAAAATTGTATATTGGATTTTTCACCCAACTATTCCTTTAAAATTATCCTAACACTAAAATCCCACCTAAATAATAATCACTGAAATAAGAAAGGGTATAAGAGGGTAGTCAGAATTACGCTACCAAAGTCAGGCTAGTAGGTTCACAACAGCTTTCATTCAAGGTCGGCTTCTTCTGAATGTTTGAGTATTTAAGTATTTAAAGTAGTTAAACTTACAGGTACATGGATCAAGTTTACATTCGCGGTTTCTGTTTCTTTTTTCACGTGCTTGTGAAGTGGAGGTGTATTCGGTTAGGGAGTCAGAACTTAGCATGTCTAAAATGGGTGCCACTGCGTTCAGCTACACAGTGAAGTTCTGTTCATTTTTATGGTTTGCAGTGAGTCACTCCGTCCTAAACCACATCAACAAGTCTGCACAACATCAGGCCCACAGATCCAAGCGTCTCACTGGAGATTCGTTCTGAGAATCTGGTGAAGACCCTTAAACTCCTTTAACTCTGCCACCAGCAGACTTCCAGTACGTGAACATCCACGCTCATAACAGTAAAATGGATCAGTGTGTGGAATCGATGCTTTCTGTGTGCTGCTGTGTTTCTATCACCGTATAAAAGATGTACAAGATTTCCTTTCTTGCTGGACGTTTGGTGTTTTTTTGGCAACACTTTCCTTGAAGGTTGTCTACATAACACATTCATAACAGCTTACATAAACGCTTCATAGCATGTTTAAATCAACATTCATAAAGCATACATGTTTTACATGATATTAATATGGACTACTATGTCATTTTACTGAGGGACATTTTTCAAAATAAAGGTTCTCATTTTTTATTTTAAAAAACGTTGATTATTTTCAGTTAATTACAGCCTCATTTCTGGACAGGCAAAATAAAGATGACTTTGCTTTACCTGTTTGGTCATTAAGTGCTTTGACGCTCTGGCGCACCATCATACTAAGATTCAGTAGACTGATTGTTCCTAAGCATATTTAATATTTACTAATGAAGTAAAGTGACATGCAAAGCAACAAATGCTTAAGAAAAACCAGATCATTAAGAAGAAGTTGAAAGTATAGGTGAGATGTGCCTGAGTGTCAAAGCACTTAATGACCAAAGGGATAAAGTAAGGTCATTTTTATGTTGGCTGTCCAGAAATGAGGCGCTTTACTGAAAATAATATACTTTTTTTAAAATAAAAAATGAAGACTTCTATTTTGTAAAATGTATCTCAGTAAAATGACACAGAAGTCTGTATTAATGTCATGCAAGACAGGTATACTTTATAAAAGTTGATTAAAACATTCATGAACATGTTATGAAGTGTTTATGTAAAAAGTTATGGATGTGTTATGTAGACATTCTTTGTCTGATCTTTTCAAATTTGACCTGAGCCACTTTCATATGTGGTCCTAGATCGGATACGTATCCGATTTGTGGCCATGTGACCTTAATGTGACGCTCAGATCGGAATTCACGTGCTTTTTCCCACTGTGCTGCGCCATCATTCAGCGTTACCATGGCAGCAGCGCTGAACAGAAGTTAAAGCCTGTAAACGGTGGAAAAGCAGCTCATCTCACCTTTTTCTCCTTCGTCTCGCTCTAATAATGAAGCTGAGAGCTGATCAGAGTTAATTATCCTCTCAGCGAAGCTCGTTCTGCTCGTTAGTTTGTGCTGATGATGCTCGTGATTCATTCACGTGACGTTACTGAGTAGGATGAGCTCATGAGGGTCATTTCAGGACGCCGGTTCGTCACATTAATGACAGATTTGAGTCACTTACCTAAACGAGTATGAACCATGGTGTCAGAGAGATCGGATTTGAGCCAAAAATCGGATTTGAAGCGACGAGGCTTGTAACGTGAACGCAGCCCAATAGACTTGCTCATGTGGTTTCTGACACTGTCTGATGTACTATTATCTATAAATGTAGGTAAAGCTAAAACCACAAAACATGGCACAGAAAACAGAAACAGTGATAGCAGATATCCTGAAGCCTGAGCTTTGCCTGAACTTCTGTCCACATTAAATAAAGAGGAAACTATACAAATAAAAATAACTGTTTTTTGTAAATGTTTTTGTGGTTCCATACAGCCACTTATTCAGCCTGCAGCAGTGCAGCTCTGCCCATTCACACTACAGCTGTAAGGAGTGATTCAGCCCAAACTGCTTCTTGAACGAGGCTCATTACAGAGGCAGCCTATCAGCTCTGTTGTATTTACATGTATCTGCCTTAAAGGCACAGTGACAAAAACAGCCTGTTTAATTCTAAAGGATAAAGACAGGCTGGAAAAATGAACTATGGCTGCTTTTGGTACATAAAGCCACACAAATGTTATGAAAGGACATAATAAAATGCAAAAAAAAAAGAATGTAAAATATGGGATCTTTACAGAATATGTCCACAACCAGCTACAGCTCATAATCTGCTGAAGACTCAAGCAGGGAACGTCTGGAGAGGCTTGCTGGTGACCTCCGGAGGCCAAAGAGGTCATGACCCTGACTGAGACCTTGTGATATCAGTCCAGACCTCTCTGGACACCGTGGCCTTCACCTTTGACTTTTTGTAGCCCAAGCTGTTGTACACAGGTTGACCAGGAGGTCCTGTCCTTCATTAATCGATCTGGAAAAAGCCACCTGTACGCAAACTTCAGAAAAGAAAAAAAAAACTCACACGTGCGGACACGTTTATTACAAAAAACTCAGACTCAGACTCAGACTCAGACTCAGACACGTCACTCAGAAGAAGCCTCTGATTGATCACAGCGTGCGTCTTAATGCCCTTCTGAGACATCTAATAGAGCGATTCTGTCTGCCGGCAGGAGACACTCCAGCATCAAAGCCACAGGCTTCACCGCTTTGAAAAAGCAGAAGAGCGCAGATTAAACTCAGATTTCTCTCCCTCTCTGTCCAGCTTAACTAAATGTGTACTTAGCACTCCATTCCTCCTGCCCTATTCGGCCGGACAATAGGCGCTTTAATGAGATTTGCGTGGTCACATAATTGAACCCTGTTCCATTTCAAAGGAATAATCTGAAGCACTTCAGCGTTATACAGGGATTAAAGTGTGCAACCGTGCCTTTTTTCCCCCAAAGGGCTCGATTTTCTTTTGTTACCGCTGTAGACGATTTTTCAATTATGATTTTTTTTTCCTCCTGCATGAGAGATAAAAAAAGCAAGGCAAATTGATGAGGTGGTTTTGCTAATGGTGGCAGCGGTCAGAGTTCATCGTCCAACTCAGGGTCATTGTAAATGGCCACTGCAGCTTTTATTACCACATCAAAAGGTAGACATGCTTTTTTTCCCTTTTTTTCTGAGGGGGATCTTCCGCATCTCTTTATGTACCAGAGAATGGATTCATCTCAATGGAGAAGAGGCAGCATGCGCTCCAGCATGAGCCTTAAAGATACAGTTCAATGAAAAATCATAAAAATATTCTATTTTCCCAAATGCAGGTCTGCCAAGACGTGTTTGGTGTCTGAGGTTCTTTAGTTTAGCCTTGGGGCTACAAGGCTAAGCTAAGAAGTAACAAGCTTATGTACATGAATTAGCATCGTGCTAACTGCATGATAATCATCACACAGTCGCCTCAAACATGGCAAGTTGTTAAATATTCTCTAATAAACTAGCTAACTCTGTTCATCTGGGTCAACCAGAGGAGGATGGGTCACTCTCGAGGTTTCTTCCTCTCACTCCTAGGGAGGTTTTCCTCGCCACTGTCGCCTCTGGTTTGCTAATGGGGTGGCTTGGACCCGGATTTAGTTCCTTACGTCTCTACATGGACTCGTTTTTATTTTTTACTTTTATTTTCTTTTTATTCTTTTGATAATCCTTCCATAAACTGCTTTTCTGTAAAGCTGCTTTGAGACAACACTAGTTGTAAAAAGCTCAATAAATAAATGTTGTTGTTGTAAACTTGCTTATGTGGTTTCTGACCCATTTTTAAAAAAA